TATACATATGAATATTCACCGATTACCTACCGGGTTCTCCGTACATAAAGGGTAGGGCCATGAGTCCTCCACAGTCCACCGGAGCGTCGAGCATCTGCTGCATAACGGCTGCAAACCCCACTGCACGCGCATTGTCTTTCGTCTCTGCGCCCGACTCCAACCCAACAGGACTAACGGGTCGACTCCGCTCCTGCTTTTCGGCCGCCTTCGGGCCGATTTTGTCCTCTTCTTCGCCGGCTGTGCCTCCTCTTGTATCCAAAGGCTCATCGCCCATCCCCATACCTACCTGTGACCTTACTACATCGGGGCATACACCCTCACTTTGCCGGTCCTGTCCTGCACATCCAGGGCCAAGACCGTCTACCGTACACCCTGCCGATAGAACCGCTTGGCCAAACATCTCGGCCACGGCATTCATAAAAGTGGTGCCATTGCGCAGCCATAACATGTTGATGGGCTGCCCATCGGGTGCGCAGAAGTGGTCGATCTGTGGGGCGATGGCGCTGAGGCTGTGGCTGCTGACGTAGTTACCTACCACAGACGTACCAAAGCTGTAGAGGTGGATATTTGGTAGGTAGGTATTAAACACAAAAGAAGTGGTCGAGCTGTATGGAACTTGTAGTGAGCCTGTGGCTGCTGGCCTAGTTACCTACGCAAAGCTGTGGGGGTGGATGTGTGGTATATAGGTATTAAACATAAAAGAAGTGGTCGAGCTGTAGGGTACTTGTAGTGAGCTTATGGCTGCTGACCTACTAAGCTACCAAAAGCTGTGGGGGTGGATGTGTGGTGTTGAATGAGGAACTTAGTCAAGGCACGCGACGGGAATAGACCATTACGAGAGACTGTCGAGGAGGCCGTTTATGTACACCACAAGCACATGACCCAAATAAAGACACTATTTGCATCAACAAACTAGTAGGTAAGCTAGTAGGTATGATCGACTGCAGTGATAGATCCTGGGCAGCCCGACTACCAGTCACAGAATGAGGGTTATGTATAGCACAAACACATAGCCCAACTTGAGTCCACTTGCATCTACGAATTAGTAGGTAAGCTAGTAGGTATAGTCAATCCCAGTGATACAACTAAAGGCATGACTTGTATCTAAAACCCAGTAGGTAAGCTAGTAGGTATGATTGACTACAATGACGGATCTTAGGCAGCCCAACTGCCAGACTACAGATCACATACTGGGTGTAGTGCCCCATAAACCAGTCCTCGACTGAGGTCTCCAGTCTCACGCATGGAATATACTTGCAGGCCAGCCACGCCACTTTCTACCTACCTACCTACCTACATACCTACCTACCTCATAGACAAAGTACCGCACTGTCCCACGAGCGACCCCGCCAATGAAGCCGGTTGGTCCCCTTCGGCTGGAGCCACTGGTGTACCCTCTGGCAGGAGTGATATTTTCTCACCTGAGGTATTAACATACCCCCCACTCTGCCCCGCAGACCGCACAGTCGGCAGTAGATCTCGCATTGGCTTGGAAGTGGGGTCCGCCTCCAAAGCCAACTCGTCGTAAAGCTGAATATATTCATACACGTACATATATATATTGATATATACATATACATATACATATACATATACATA